TGGCGCCACGTAGCGAAAAGAAGAAACGACTGGCGCGCTGTTGTTAACTCGGCTATAATCGCGTAAGCGGTGTCTACGCCAATTAAGAAGAAGAAGAATGTCGCAAGTCGGGAGTTATTTTTCATCCTCTTAATAATGCAGTTCTAGGTACGTTAATGAATCGCATTTGGGAAGATTCTGGGGAACTCCCTTTACTTTAATTTTGAGATGATCTGTGAACTTTAGCATATAGGCGACTACTCTGACWGCACGCTCAAAGGTATCAGTATCATCCAAGGCTGTATGAAAAGAGTAAATTTTTTGACTTTCTGGGCAGTTATATTACGCATAGTCGATTTTGGCCCACAATCAATATCGGCCAGTGGCTGATCGCAAAAATTAATAACCAGCATTTTTCTTTCTGTTCATATTTTGCTATACCTGGATAATATTTCTTAATGGAAACCTCGCGGTTTTACCTATACCTCTGTTAAGGATTCGTATGCTTGTGGAAGACTGTGGCTTCCAGACAAGAAATCGTGTACGTATGTCTGTGTTTTTAACACTGAGATTGCCAGATAAAATTCTGAATTTGCTAAGTAGGGAGCACAGTTGATGCCAAAGGCAACTATTTTTAATTCGTTGAAAATTTGGATCGTCTACACAAGACTATTTTTCTATACGTTAAATACGTATACGTCAATTTAAAATAAGAACATTTAGTCTGCCTAAACCGTGGGTCCCTTAAATAAAATGTTATAGGGGAGAATTTCCCATGATTTGATAGGTAAAACTAATATTATTTACTTTGTATTTTTTTTCGGCAGGATTGACTTCCTTCATATTGTCTAAATAGATGTATTCTTCTACGACACTATCATACTAAGGTTTCAGCTCGACTTTTTTAAGTAGGGTTTTTCCATACTTTAAAACTTCTGTATTGCACAAGTTCGACAATGACCTAAGGCAAGTGTTCTTGCTTTAGTGGTATTCGTCCAACATACCGGCCACAATTAGTAGTTGTGGCTTTGTAAAAGTCCGTACAATACCGATCATCAGGAGTTATGATTGATATGAGGGAAGTTGTTATAACTCCCAAGATTTTGTTAAATGCAAATTAAGGTATTCGTTTGAGAGTTTCTCGACTGAATTTGTCATGGTGGTAACTGGTTCGTTAACTTAAATATAAAACTTAAAAATAGTATTTTGTGTGAAGTGTATTTGAAATTTTTTCAATACCTTCGAGTTTTATCTATGGTATGAGGACGCTGCCTATTTGAAAATCTATTGAAGGGGAGTCGTGCAGTTGGGATCTGCTAGCTTAAGGTGTGAAATTGTTTTTAAATGTCTGCTATCTCTTGGAAGCATGTTTATTAATTGCGGTAAGACAATAGCTTCTGCTTGAATGCGCTTAGGTAATTATTGTGCCCTACGCGATATAAATAATCGTTAAGATCCTTTGCCCTACGTTTTTTTAACGTCTTTGAACAGCTTGGAATTGTTGTTGTAACTAAACCTGTGACCCTCAACTGTGAACTGGAAAAATGTGTAATATGAAATATCGAATTATGTCAATAAATGGAATTAAATATTTTATTTCTCAATATTTAAGCATGCGCACATTGGACAAGCAGTTTGTAATCTTTTTGACTTTAAAAACTTGCTTCGCTCAATGATACTTAATTTTTTGTAAGATTTGAGTTTATGCCGCCATGTGCATATTTTGGGTTACGTTTCTTTTTAATTTTGATGTCAACGTTTGACTTTTGGAGAAACTTCTATTTAAATTATTACTGCTACTATCTATCTTTTGTTGCCACGTTTGGCAATTGTTTCTTGTCCAGAGCGATTATTCCCATAGCAAGAAATATTCTTCTGGTAATGTTGTGGTGCATATATTTACCAGAATTGGGTCCCAGTTCTCTATACGATTGTGTTATGTTGATAAAACAAACAAATAGTTGGAAACTGTGGATGGAAGTTTGATAAATTATTCTCTTGTTTCCTTTTGAATGTTTGACAAGTTCATTAAAATCGTTATTTGCTCATAGCACAATTCTATTCTTTCGTTTTTGTATCTTTCGACCAGTGCTTTCCAAGTCATAATGAAAATGTTGTCATTTAATTCAAAATGTTTTACTATTGTTGATTAACATTTTGTTTTGTATGGGAGGTGAAACAATTTTTACTCTTGCGATAATTTGGATGGTTTAGGTACAAGGCTTTAAACATGTCCCAGAAGGACGGCCATTGTGAATGCCTGAACTTGCCTTTTGAGCTTATTATTATGGCAGCTCTACCCCCAGATGTGGAGTAAGTACAATTTCTTTAATTAATTTTAACTGATCAAAAAGCATTGCGTTTGTACCTTCAAACTGATATAATCATCTTGTTGGTGTAAAGCTTTTGGCTATTTTTAAATTTGTTCCGTGTGGTCACTTACATCTAGTCACCACCTTAGAAGTAAACTGTTACAATTAGCAAACTTGCCCTTTATAGCACAATGTAAGCTGAGCTTATGACTAAATGAAATATTAGAATATAGAAATGCGCTATTCGAAACTTAAATAAACATCATATTTAATTAAACCGCGGATAGAGCGTTATATGGTTTGCAGATCCAGATGTAGGTATTTGTTTATATTTGCCTTTAGGCGGTTGTGTCAGGGCTTGGGTTAACATACACGATCTTTCTTCTTCAGAAATGATCCTTAGGACTTTTAGCGACTGACTTGTTTTATATTTTTTGGAATATGTAGAATTACTCTAATAAAATGTCAGAACAAATTTCATATATATGCAAAGTATGTTAAAAATAAGACTCTTTCCTATAAATAAGAATTTTAACGAAAATCAATTTACTGAAATTACTGATGGAATTTTAAAAATATTTTTGTACATAAGTATACAAACAATGCCAAACACACTTTTAAGTTAATAAGAGTTTTTCATATTAAATAAGTAAGTTATGAGTATTTAGTAAATAACTTAATTGCGATTAAATTTTATTTCATAATTTATTAGTAACCGCAAATATTATATTTACCTGTTGCTACAAAGTGTAATAGTTTAGAAAACTTTTAAAGTGGCATAACCAAACATTAAATTAAGATATTGAACTGTAATTTCGCACAGAGGATCGCAGCAGCAAGGACCATTTGTGGTTAAAACCTTTTGCAAAAGCGAGGYCCACCCTCAAACAAGTTTAATGTATATATCTCCCAAACCACTTAAGCTACAACAACCAAATGCGTCTTATGAAAATTTCTATCGACAGTGTGAAAATGGAAACGCGTTAAATCAAAAACTAAATACGCCAGAGACACAAAATTTAACCTCCGAAATGGTATGAAAGGCTTTATGGGAGACGGTGTGAAAATGGACGATGGGCGTTGGACCGCCCATTTTTTTGGTGAAATCACATATCTCGGGACCCGACTGACTTGGTTGATATTTTATACCTTAAGGTATTTCCCTGGCTTTAGTTCCTGCAAAATGCAAAAGTATAAAATGTTTGATTGCTTACTTGTTTTTATATATTTTTATATGTATATATACATATGTATATTTTTGTCACTTCTATTTGTTAATTTTTAACTTTTTTACGTGGGTGGAAGTCATTCAGATAATACACACTCCACGTATAACGTTTATGTTGGTAACTACTAAAAGGAAGGTAAATATTTGCCTTAGAAATATTTAATTTTTCTGCTGAGATCGTACAAAAGAAAGGCGTGATACCGCTCATTATTAGAAGAAAGTCTATACCTCAGGAAATATTCGGAAATTGCAACGAAATTGGGTACACAAGATTATTTTGACATTTTTATGTTAAAGTGCGAAATTGAATGAAAGTTTTATTTAACAATTGTGTGAAAGAAATATATGAAATATGAAATTGTACAGAAAGTTATATTGGTTGTAGTCCGAATTCACTTGTTTTGAAACTGCAACATCTTTCGTTGTCCAATTTGCATAAAAATCATCTGTGTTTTATTATTACTTACATAGATAGATTCGAACTTTCATTAGTTATCAGCCGTCGGGTGAACGATTTGCGTGACTATCATCGAATTTTACCCATTTTCATAACACATATTACATATATTGGTACATATTTAGAAATGCATCATAAAAATATGTGGGTACAAATACGAAAATACGAAAATCTGAAATATTGCAACACAGGCTAATTTTCACTAATATTATATTTATTAAGGAGGTCTGACCGAATGTGTGGCTAACGAATTACTTGAACATAAATAGTAGAGTAAAAACACATATTTACTCACCTTAAACCCATATACTGCAAATAATATATGATAAATGACAAACAGAACTAAAAAATCCATTTTTTAGTTTTCAAAAGAACTGGAAAAAATTATAAAAATATATTTGTAGCTGCGCTTAGTCATAATAACATATTTTATATCAAATTTAGGTATGTTTAACTCACCCAACAATTTTAGCCAGCACCTTTCAAGCGGAWATACTAGATATAGAGAAGGCTTGTGAAGTTCAATTGCATAACTGTGAATACAGAAAGCAGTCATGTACACGAACAGCCAGGTGGCTTACTTGGTTTGTCAACACCACAGAATAATTTCAAAATAGTCAACAACTGCAGGAAGGCTTTAAGATCACTGGCTTGAAAACTCGAGCTTTTTAGATGAGTCCGAAAAGCCAGTACTATGCCGGCTATGAACTTTAAAAAGGGATCTTTTGAATAAATGGTACAGAGCAAACGGAACACAACAATAAGCTGTAAGATAACAAAGCAAATCTGACAGGAATAGAACAATGGACCTGCTGTGTATAGTATATACAGGCTTACAGCTCTGGCTTTATGCCCGCTTTATAACCTTATTAGTTCTATCACTTGGACCCCCTCAGACACCAAACTTTGAATGCATAACGGACTTAGATCGTTAAGATAACTCACATATTGACCGATTTATCTACATACATGTATGGATAAAGATAACCAGATATTTGAAATGCTGTCTAAAGAAAATTTTTACCCGAAAAATCTCATTTTTGGCACAAAGCACACTGTTATAGGAAACAGATCTCCTCTGAAATTGTGGCATTAGTAAAGTAGACGTGGTTTTTGTTCAATTTCACTTATTTTCATTATGTGAGATACTAATTTTACGAATATTTRCTTAAAAATAACATTTTCTTGCAACATTATGATTTTCATTGCATTAAAACTTTCTCACCATTAACTTTCTGATTCTGATCTAACAAATTGTTTATCTTTACGTTTTTGCTTGCAATTTTCAGATTATTTTAAAGCTTTTCTATATTTGTAATTCTTTTTCACATCTATAACAACCTAAAGCGAAAAAATAATGCTGAGTACTTAGCGTAAACTCTACTGAATTATTCTTGGTTAGAATACTGTTTTATGATCATTATTCATATGTATGTCACAAGGAAAGATATTATGGCGGTATGACTTTATGACCAAAGCTACAAATAATGTTGGCTGGTTCTGATATTTGTAAATTTTGTCATCTGGTCTGTAATTATTATAAACTTAACACCTGCTTTTTACGTAATATTTGATCTGACAAGGCATTATCGATCGAAGCCCATTAAAAAAATTAAACAAAAGTCATAATATATGTCTTATGCAAACGTATGCTAATGCATCTACCAGCCTTACTCTTCAAAGTCAACTATTTTGACAAGACATGTCGCATATATTAATAATACTATTTTTTGCTTCATATGAGTATTAAGATAAGCAACTATTTTTTTTTAAATCTTATTAATGTAAGATAGTTTTTATAAAAGTTCTTTCGAACAATGAAATATATTGGAAACTTTTATTCAATTTATTTTTATATTGACATTATTTAGGACAAAATGTTGTACCCCTTATCTGCAATGTACTTTTATGAAGCATCATCAAATGTCGTATTAATTTTAATATACTTAAATTAACTCTAATAGGAAATAATTGTGGATTCTATATATATAATTTAATATAAAATCGTTTATTGAAAGCATTACAAAGTCCAATAAAACTCAGAGGTTATATTAAAATAAATTATAAACAAAGGAATACTATATCCAAGTTGCAACGCACATTTGAAATTAAACATACATTTATTTTTATTTCCTTCCTTTGAGTGTATAGCTTTTTTTAACGTGCTCTATTCTTACAGATGAAATGCATATTTTTATACTCTCGCAACAAAGTTGCTAAAGAGAGTATT